TGTATATTGTATTAATGGATCTACTTTTTTGTGGTGTATATATACGTATATCTACATATACTGTTAATCGGTATGTGTGCGTATGCGCACGGATATGTTCTGTTTTACAACAAGTTCAACAAAAAGGCAAGGTATAGAAAGTGGTTATCTCACGGCTTTTCTCAATTTATTTAAAGTAGAATGTTGTAAGACACAACATTTACCAAAATCTTATAAATTAATTTAATAATGAGTGTGGTGTTTTTAAACAGTAGCACAGATGGAAACCACTCATTGACGCTATGTGACAAGTCTCACATAAATTTAACATGACATTGGTCGATAATGATCCCGATCGATTAATCAGGAAACCCAAAAATCCAAAGCTGCTGGCAGATGATAGCATTAAGTTTGAAGACACAATAATTTAATAATTATGGGTCATACATGAAAATATATAACTGACGTTGTGATTGGCACGATATAAAGAATTAACATCTGTTATCCTGTTTATTCAGTGCATTTTTGGTTAACAAAATGCACTGAACAAACAAATAACTAAAATATTCACGAATGCTTTGTTATATTTTACTTAAATTACGCACCAAACTGATATGTTTCTGTTTTTCAATTATAGAGTGACGGAAGCACCCTCTTCAGCAAATCCAAGATTTATTAATGACTAAAATGTGAGTATGCGCACTGAGTCTGTAGTTTTCCATGTCTCCGCCTACTTGTTTTATAACCAATGAACGAGAGTATGACATCTGATCAGGATCCCGGTCACACCCCTTTTCGTTTGGCTTTGGGATAATGTAGCTTTTTGTCAGGGGCCCGCTGCTACTAGTGAAGCGACGCCCAGTCCCATGAAACGGCGATATAACGTGTTATGGAGGCGTCATCGAGTCAGGTGAATGAATTCTCCGGGTGGAAGAGGCAGAAAGAAGAAAGGTTCAGGCGGCCCCAGCGCACCGCTAGAAGGCGCCGGCTCCGATCAGGTGTCCCTGCATAGGAGGAATCTGTACTACTTCTCGTACCCGCTTCTGGCGGCGTTTTCCGTGCTGCGCCTCCTGGCCCTCTACATGGGGCTGTTATTCGCCTGGGTGTGCGAGCGCCTGTCCCGAGTCATGGCGACCAGGGCCAAGCTGCCTGAGCAACACGCCGGCAAGGAAACGGAGGACTGCGGCGAGCAGATCCGCAACCACCACAAGCAGGCCTTCGAGTACATCGCTGTGGCGTTAAGGATCGACGAAGATGACAAGGGTGAGCAGCATCGCCTTCCGATGATGATGATGATGATGATGATGATGATGATGATGATGATGATGATGATGGTGGTGGTGGTGGTGGTGGTGGTGGTGGTGGTGATGATGATGATGGTGGTGGTGGTGGTGGTGGTGGTGATGATGATGATGATGATGATATTGGAGGTGACACTGCCATCTGTTTACGTATCTTTATATTTTTCCTACACTAATAGATATATAGGTAAAAGGCGATTATCTACTGTTATCTGATAACTACTCTAGCCACATTTTTCTTTTGTCTATTGTTTAAAGATCCTTCTTCGCAACACACGGTGTCAGCCTTCTAAGCTTGTGTAAAAAAATACTCTAGTATTAGCGAGCTTATTACATTTATAAGTGATTTGTACGGGTGTTTTCATGCTCCATACTGTCAGATTGATAGCATGCACACTACATGGGTAAGTGCCCACTTATTGTCATGGCTATACCCTCCTTGAATCAGTACGGAGTTCAGTGATAATACACAAAAACAACTATTCTACATGTTGTTTTCTGCCTTCTACTGTTTTGCTGGGTGTTTATAAATCTGGGCCAGTGGCACAGGAGGTTTTCTGTCCTTGATCAGCATGAATGGCTAATTTTTAAATCGCTTGTCAACATGTGTATAAATGTTTGTTTAATGAGATTTGAGAAGTCGAAATCCAGTCTATTCAACAATTAGACTACAACAAGAACAATCTAATTTTCTATTAAATTTTTGATGTCGCATTTAATGCAACATCATCCTTGAATTTTACAAATGGTTAGTTTGACTCCTTATTGTTTTCAGTTTTCTTTTTCCTTTTATGCTCAAATATTATTCTGTAGCCATCCAATGTCCTTGACTCAGTTTTTACATTTCATATGTAAAAGACAATACATGCTTGTTTTTAGCAATAAAAACACAGTAAAAGCCAAAAGCCATTTAATTCTCAGATCTTGATTTCCAAGGCAAGCATAAAGTGTGTGTGTGTTGCTGAAACCCTAGAAGTGACTAACCTGCCTGTGTAGAGTTTGGGGGTTGAAGGCATTGTGTGACTGTGATATAATAATAGCATGGAAGTCATTAAATCATTCTACAGGGTGTATATGTTGTGCCAAGTAAAAAAAAAAAAAAAAAAAAGTCACGTTGCCAGTTTTTTAATAATAAAGCATTAGCTGAATGTTACCATTTAGGTTTTGCAGAATGAGTGTTAAACAACTTACTGTAACTGCCAGCTTGTTTCAAAGCACTAAAATTTCCTTTTCGTTGGATATCTTTAGTTCTGCTGTAGCTGCCATTAAAAAACCAGCATTTTATTTTTACAAGTGTTTCAATAATAAGTTATGTGTATGTTGTCGTTTTTCCAACCTTAGTTGTATCCTTAATTAACAAATGAATCAGTCTTAAGTAAAACCGGTGACTTTATTCCATCGGCATCATAGTTTTTGTTTAGGACCCTGTTTCCTGATCAGTCATTGGCCTGATTAATAATGCAGAAGGGGTGTAGGCTAACGGCAGCAGGGAGCCTGACAGCACGGTCGATTTTTGGGGGCAACGTGGTCACTGGAAACGGGCTGAGGTGTGCTGGTAGGAAAGGGGGAGGGGCCAATGTGCAAATGCTGGCCAATGAAATTGAGGTGTGAGGGTTTAAGGGCTGATCAGTGACCTCCTATATGTTTACATTAGGTGTTTTTTTTTTTTGCTGCTGCATTAAGTAATGTTCTTGAGTGTAACTCCCTGTATAATCTCAGATCTGCTAGTGCAGCATTAAGAATTGCCAGCCACGGTTCGAATGAAAGATGACCGTACTATGGGGATTGAGGAGTTATCCATTGTCCTACTCAGGGATGAGAACGTTATCGGTTTCATGGTGAACCACAGTAAAACTCCAGATGGTTAGCATCACCATTTCAAATTTTAAATATCGTTAAAACCATGGCTGATTACCAACCACGCTTTGAAAAACTCAAGTTAAATACTGTGCAGCATCAGCCAAAGTTGGCAACAGTCTCCCAAATGCAGGTGCAGCATGTAATGTTGGTTTGCTTTATGTCAATGAAAACATGGTGGAAGGCAGTAACAGCGCAATGGAGATTTTGAATGTTAATGCGAATTTGATATGGATTTCCTGTCTTTAGATAAGTATTGCCTATGCTATTTTAACGTTCATTCAAGCAAAAAGTGCTCTAGTGCTGCTAATTCTATTTGTAGTTTTCAATATAAAGCCAGTTAATTGTGAAATTTTTGCAGTCCGTACTTTCTGAACATTTTCTGCACATTTTAATACCGCAATGATACTGAACTAGGGCTACACGATTTGGGGAAATATCTAATCGCGATTTTTCTGACATTGCATTTACGATTTGATTTGTGATTTAATTCTCAAGCTTCAGTTCAATATTCAGTTTGTAGTAATTTTAAAACATATGATGCAGTATGAGATACCATCAGTATTAACTGGTCTATATTCTAATGCAGTGTTTCCCAACCTTTTTTGAATTGTGTACCCCCTGAGAGATTTTCTCATACCACAAGTACCCCCTTTGTCAAATGTGTTGATGATTCAATAAAAGTAGAACGTACAACTGATTATCAAATTTAAAACATTTTATTAAATCTCCATAACTTGAACATTTAATTATTGGGCATTTTATTCTTTTCAGT